CCAGGCCTGCCGGAATAGTCAGGTTTTAGTGGCTTTTCGGAAGGCCGAGAGACTGGGAAGGGTCCGGATCTCTACGGGTAGATTGTTCCACAGGGACGGAGCAGCTACAGAGAAGGCCCTCCCCTGAGGGGTCACCAGCCGGCATTGTCCGGTCGACGGCACCCGGAGAAGGGCCAACCTGTGAGATCTTATTGGCCGTTGGGAGGTATGTAGCAGGAGGCGATCTCGCAGATATCCAGCTCCTAGGCCATGTAGGGTTTTAAAGGTAATGACCAGCACCTTGAAGCGCGTTCAGAGACCGATAGGAAGCCAGTGCAGCTCGCGGAGGTTAGGTGTGACATGGGTGTATCTAGGTACACCCGATATCACTCGCGCGGCTGCATTCTGGACTAACTATAGTCTCTGAACACTTTTCAGGGGCAGCCCCATGTAGAGTGCATTACAGTAATCAAGCCTTGAGGTGACGAGGGCATTCGAAGTGCCTCCCGGTCCAGGTAGGGCCGCAACTGGTGCACCAGGCGAACCTGGGCAAAAGCCCCCCTGGTCACAGCCGACATCTGAAGCTTCCTGGATGGGAAGCGAAACGTCTTCAAAGAGAAACATCCATAGTCTCTTAGATACTTTTGTTTTTCTTTTTTAAAACTTTTTTTTACATATTTGATACTTAATTTTTAAATTATGGTGTTTGAAATTTTTAAGACCAAAAAACTATTTCTCAATGGGCAAAAGATCATACTCTGACCTCAACCATACTTATTCAGAAATCTGCCCTATTTATCTCAGTGGATTTCTACTTTACATGTTAATTTCCTGCCATTCTGACTTCTATTGCTGGAATTTGTAAAGGTCTAAAGTTTCATAGGGATGCAGTGGCTCAGTGGCTAAGACACTGAGCTTGTCAATCAGAAAGATCAGCAGTTCGGCAGTTTAAATCCCTAGCATCACACAATAAAGTGAGCTCCCATTACTTGTCCCAGCTTCTGCCAACCTAGCAGTTCTAAAGCACATAAAAATGCAAGTAGAAAAATAGGAACCACTTTTGGTGGGAAGGTAACAACGTTCTGTGCATGACCATGGAGAACACCTTCAGCCAGCACTGGCTCTTCGGTTTTAAAATGGAGATGAGCACCGCTCCCTAGAGTCAGGAACAACTAGCAAATATGTGTGAGGGGAACCTTTACCTTTAAAGGTTCCTTTTACTGTTTAAGTACTATAATATAGTACTATAATATAAATATAAAATAAAAGATCTACCCACTTTTTCTTCCTATTTCCAGAAAAGAATAAAAAAGAAAGGAAAACTCGCAGCAGTTGTTATAAAACAATGTGTTTTTTATATATGATTTTATATGATTTTAGCATACTAGGTCAGTGGCATCTGTAGGATTCTGCTCCAATGCATGTAGGAAAAGGCCAGGACTAGTGACAAGATAGCACTGCTTTGTGCTCAGCGTGACTCACCCACTGCCCCTACACACATAGGGCTTCACTTTCCTAAACTGTAAGCAATTATAAAAGTTAGATATTGATACTTGGAGGAAACATATTATTGTTACTATTCTAACTTTGAAATATTAAACAGCAATATTGAGCAGCTGAATTACATATAATTGAGTTTCTGAGAAAAAAGAACTATTTATTAAATTTGGTTCAAGTTATTAAAGTATTAGGTGTAAACTAACTTACAATGAAGAAATATGTACCTACTTTATTCTACTACTCCTAATTCACAGACAGAGTTTAATTCTTCAGTTAGACACTGCCAGAGAAGCAAACGATGGTGCCAGAATGCAGAATTTGTACAAGATGGTGGACAAGGTGGATGCTTATCAGAAGAAGCTTCTGGACAACTGGAAAGTTAGGCAGAATGTTGTAGAGAAGCAGCGCCAGCACTGCCTTACACAAATGGTTGATTTGTTTGCCCAGGTAAACGTACAAGTATGGATTGATAGCATAAAACCCCAGAAGTCTTACCTAGGCTAATAATCCACTGCTTCTCCACAGCTCTGGGGAGCTTATAAGCACTCATCAAATTCCCCATCCTCTGATATTTTGAGGCACTGTCATATCTGCACTTAGTGCTTACACTGTTCCTGCCCTGTGTTCATCCTGGCTTGGCTCAAAGGAGTTTATGAAAATCCTCTCAGGACTCAGATACTTTGGCCGCAGCTTGCAAGGTCAGTCTGGACTGCAGATTGCCACATACTTCCATTGTACAATTCCCCTGCAGCTGTGCCTTCCACCTTCTCTTACAGGAAAGTATGGCCAACCATTTTCCTACTTATTTATGGTTCTTCTATCATATCCATATTTTTATAATTGCCTATGTGTATGTATGCAGACACATTTTATGCAAACAAAAAAGTAATGTATACAAAGTGCAGATACAAGCAATGGCTTCTAAAAATCCTTTACTGCCATCTATTTCTTTCTAATATCTTTTAGACTTACTATTATTACGAATACCATAGTAAGTTTGGATGTTGCCAATTTGTTCGGAGATTGCCAAATTGGAGAACTTTGATGTCATGAATTTACAATTCATAATCATTCTACATTGGGGAAAGTTTAGAGATTAAAGAAACTCGCTATAGTAGCTTAAACTCACATGATGTTCATTTAGCTTACTAAGCCCCAATGTGGTATTGTGTATTATGTGTAACCCTAGTTAATTCTTGCTGATTAAAATGATATTTAAAGAATAGATAATGATTTAGCATGATGTATGAATCCAGCAGAGGTGGTATTCAGCAGGTTCTGATCAGTTCTGTAGAAAGAGTAGAGGAAATCTTGAGTAGTTTGGACAACCGGTAAATACCATCTCTGACTGGCCCCGCCCCCATCTATTCTCTGCCTCCTGAGTCCCAGCTGATGGAAGGCAGATAATAGATGGGGGCGGGGCCAGTCAGAAGTGGTATTCCTCCCAGCTTGAGGAAAGGGAGATTTTACAGTATCCTTCCTCTGGAGTGGGGTGGGAATTGAGATTTTACAGTATCCTTCCCTTGCCACGCCCACCAAGCCACACCCACAGAACTGGTAGTAACAATTTTTGAATCCCACCACTGGAATTCAGTCAGTAAGTTTTATTTTGCAATATGAATAAAGGTAGGAACCAGATGTTCATGATGGGGATATTAATCCCTATGCTAGAATTAATTTGTAGGTAAGTATTTTTTACAGATAAAAAAATATACTTTCTTGATTTGTGTTTGATTTAGCAAGTTAGGAGTCCAAACCAACAATCTGATTCAGATCCAACTTTTCAAAATGATGGTATGGTGAATTGAAATAATAGACAAATAATAATCCATAGTGAGGTGCAATAAATTAAGATATTCTTTCTTTCTGTCCTTTTTATAGGTCCATTCGAGTGCCCAACTCCACCTCAGCAATCCATGCCTATTGATAGTTAAAGCAGAAGATAGCACAAAGGAGACCTTCCACATGCCTCAGATTGGACCTGCCTTCTTGAAGTCTAAGGTTTACAAAAGCCCCCTGATTAGGGTGAAGAAATCCCAAGATTTCACAGTAACAGCTATGGTCAGGTATGGCTGAAAAAGAAACCACAGGGAGGGGGCTACTATGGGGCAAATCGTTAAGTTATATTCCTCATATCAGATAACCTAAATTCCTGTAGGAAATTGTTTTTAAAGTTATATTCAAGCAAAATGTCAAATGCAAACCATCAAGATTGCTCATGGCAATAACATCTATACCATTTTCATCAAATCCCATAAATCATTAAAATATGCAAAAGATAGTTGAATCAGTAACAAAACTATGATTTGATGTCCCAAACATGCTTTGAAGCATGAATGTACCACCTGCTTGCAACACTTTAAAGCATCTGTGTCTTTTCTAAGGATTGCGTGCAAACCTGGAAAATTACAATTGCTGTGATATAGACAGACGCTACATTTGTGCTCTTGCACTCTAAAATATCTCTACATCTAAAGCATCACACTGTATTATTTTCTGAAGCTCTTTATAAAAGGGATGTGTTAACTTTTTCATAGTCTTTGAAAAATTAATAGTGAATTTTTCTGATGAGACTAAGTTGAAGAGGATGCTCCAAAATCATTCCCAGAACTTTTAAGAGTATAGTTATTTTTTAAAAGTCATTGTATTGTTTGAAATAATTAATGCCCGAAATACATCTAATAGAGAAATGCCTATAATATAGTATTAATAGTCCAATTGCTAGGGGTAGACAATTAAGAGCTGATGAAGCATCACTTATTATGCTAAGACGTAATCTGGTTGGTTTGATTTTGGCTAATAGTGTGGTGTAAATCCAGCCATTGTGTTTTGAGAAACATAGTTTATGGCTCATGGTTTACTATATTGTATACATTCACTTAATTTTATCTGATTCAACACATTGAAGAAAGTTAGCACCCACCCTCTTAGAAGAATGAAATATTTTAGGAAATATTAAAAAGACAGAATATTATATTTTCCCTAAAGGAGAAACATGTTTCTAAAGACAGAACTCAGAGCTTCACTCATAGCCCCATGGGAATCTGACAGCAACCAATAGAATACATACCCTTGCCACAGGAACAGGAAGCTCAAGAGCAAGGTCCAAGAGAGAGTATAAATAACCCTCATTCTCAAGTCCATGTGGTCAGCTGCCCAGGACCTCAAACCCATGTGGTCATGTTCATCAATGAACCACCTTTCCAATCAGCCTTCATCTTTCCAGTGTCTTTCGCCCAGCTTGGAACTGAACTAGATGGATATTACTTCCAACAACTCCATATCTAAACAAATCCTGCCAATCTCCCTGTTAATTGTTTTTTCTCCTCTACAGAGCTATTACCTCATGTTAAATATATAAGAATTGGAACATCATTTTATTAAACTGTATTAAATAGTAGATTGTTTCAATGTTTTTCCATTTGCATTATAATTGTATTTTCCCTACAGAAGAAAGCCAAGCAGCGAGCAAATAGAATCACTGTGGAAGACTGATATCACAGAACTGAGTTTTCCCCTTGGACCCAAAGCACCTGTGTCTGTTCTGTGGCCAGAGACTTCTGGCTTTCCAGATATTCCTAGATTTTTGGAATTAGACATTTCCTCTGTGAGGGGGAAGCCTCTTCAATTTATGGAGACTCGGTAAGTAGCCTTGCATTAAGGAATCTCTGTGATGTCAGCTGGTATAAGTGATAAAGATGCTAATGCAATTAACACTTTGTGATTTTTCTCACGCTGATTAAAGAACATCAATCCAGAGCAGCCTCAGCAATTTCTGATGTGATGCTTCTGCCATTATCATTCTCAGAACTTTATTTTTTTTGCTTCCATAGGCGTGCCTGTCACCTTTTCTAGCAACCAGTCCTTGAATAATGATGCTTTCCCCTCCTGCCTCTATTTTGTAACAGCTATTTTAGATAATGGTTTTAAAAATGGGAAGATGACCCCTCTCCTTACCTAACTCCTTTCATTGATATATCCAGGCTACCTTTATGGCATATAGGTAGGCAACCTTTGACTCTACACCAGTGGTGAAATCTAACCTCCCCCTCTGGTTCTGTGGGCGTGGCTTGGTGGGGGTGGGGGGATCATGTGACTGAGTGGGCGTGGCCAACCTTTTTCACCTTCAGCTTTTTAAAAAACTTTTTAAAGCATTTTCCCCCCTGTATGTTTGGGCAAACTTGCAGGGAAAAATGCTTTTAAAAGCTTTTTTAAAAGCTTTCAACAATTGTGCAGGTTAGCTGTCAGCCGCGCGATCGTCAGAAGCTATTTTTTTTAGATTTTTAAAGCATTTTTTCCCTGCCGGTTTGCCTGAACCAGCAGGGAAAAAGTGCTTTAAAAAGTGGGGGGAAAGTTCCAATGATTGCGCGGCTCACAGCTGAGCTGCGCAATCGTCGGAAGCTTTTTTTTGTCTCTACCGGTTTGCATAACCAAGGACAATCGTCTCTACCGGTTTGGCTGAACTGGGCTGAACCAGGAGGATTTCACCCCTGCTCTACACATGAATACTAATACTACTTTTATTATACGATTACAATAAAAGAATCTTTACAGTCTGAATATATGTCCCCACTCTCTCTTTTTTGTGTGAGAACTAGGGAAAGACAAATCTAAGATTTTTTTTTCAAATTACATTTCTGTTTTGGACTCAATTTTTTAAAAAATCTTACTGTTATGTTGGCTGTGTCTTTTCTTCTTGTCCCCCGAGGTTACTTTTACAGTAACTGGAGATAAACCAGCTACAAACAAGAGCAAGAGAAATAGCCCTGAACCTTCCTCCAGATTTCTGCAGAACTGTGAACTGTCCTATTATCGATCAACTCAAAGATTGAAATTCATCTTTTTTACTCTTATTATTTATAGGAATATTGATTTCCTGCCCTCTTGCCAGACCCTATCCCCTCTTGGCTTGAACTTCAAGAAATATTAGATATTTAGATTACACAGAATCTTACACAGCAGCTTTTTTCTTTGCTAGTTTATCATAATATTAAGGGAGTTTCATCCTGATCGATAATTCTGTCTCCACATGAACTTCATCCTTGACTGACAGCTCTCTCTCTCCCCTCCCTCCCTCCCTCTCTCCATAGAACATATCTGTCTTCTAGGAGAATATTAGTCCTGTAATTTTATGGTACAAAAAATCTGGATGATTGGTTGAAGGGGCATATGAGGGGAGTAGGATGAAGCACAAGGGAACTACTGATCTGCATGCCAGCTCCTTAAAAATGAAAGTCATGAGGTTAGAAAAGCCTCATTTGTTTCTAAACTACCTCTTAAAAAGGAAGGAAGGAAGAAAGGAAGGAAGGAAGGACGATTCCCTTTGTCTCTTAAACACAGAGATTCATTTAACTAACAACAAGTTAGGGGAGAAGATTGTAAAGCCTCTATCCCTCATTTACTTCTTGCAATTTGCCCAGGTGGTCAAAACATCTCATATGTGTAAATACACGAGGCATAGACAGAATACGGAACAATATGAAACTAGCTGCAGTTCTGTGCATAGTGGCCTGTAGATGTCACTATTGAATAAGAGAAACTTATATCAGTTTTTGAAAAGTTTATCATAGTTTCCTTATTTCAACAGAATAACAGAGTTGGAAAGGACCTAGGATGTCTTCTAGTCCAACTCCATGCTCAAGCAGGAGACCCTATACCATTGCAGACAAATGGCCATCCAATTTCTTTTTAAAAGCCTCCAGTGATGGAGCACCATTTAGTTACATTATATAGAAGCATCTGGAGTGTGCATGAAAGATGCAATGATGAAAGCAATGCTGCACCATCCTGATGCAAGCTTGTGTCTGCATTGTCGCATCATACATACAATATAACGGAGGCAGAAATTGTATCACGATGGTACAACAGTGTTTTCATTTCTTGACAGAAGCATCAGATCCTGCAGGTACCTTTGCTTCCTAGACTATCCTATCTGACAGTTCATCCACAGATATAACTTCTGCTGGGATTCTTAATTAGCAAAGTACTATGTTTGTACACATGTACCAGTGGTGGGATTCAAATAATTTAACAATCGGTTCTCTGCCCTAATGACCAGCTGGGTAGGTGGGGCTCGGTGGTCATGTGACTGGGTGGGTGTGGCCAACTCAATGTCACTCAGGTCGATGGGCGCTTCACCTTAGCTGTTACAATGCAATAAGGGCTAACTGGAGAGGCAATTTCTGTAAGCAATAAAGATTAGGCTAGAAATAACACCAGAATGTTTCCTTCCTGCTTTCTTTACAAGATTAGCCCTGTAAAGTGTGGGGGGGGGGGGGAGATTTCTTCCAACAATCAGTTCTCAAAACTGCTTAGAAAGTTAACAACCGGTTCTGCCGAATTGGTGCGAACTGGCTGAATCCCACCACTGACATGTACATAAACAGCTGGGGACAATCCTTAGAACAATTTTGTAAGTCTTCCAAATAATATAACTATCTTAATGCTTTGAGCAGGATGTGTTGCTCACACTTTACAATACATCTCTTTTTAACACATTATATAATTGTATCACATTATATAATTGAAACATATGCATGGACAGCTTGCAATGGGACAAGAAGAAAGCAGAAAAAGTATTAACAACTCACAGCATGCAGTCGCATATTTAAATTGCTATTTTAAAACTTTGAAAAATATAGTTCTATTCTGAAATTAATTTTAAAAATGATTAAATGCTCTTGGTTCAACTATAATCTAATTTATCTTTCTATAGCAATAGCAATAGCAGTAGACTTATATACCGCTTCATAGGGCTTTCAGCCCTCTCTAAGCGGTTTACAGAGAGTCAGCATATTGCCCCCAACAATCTGGGTCCTCATTTTACCCACCTCGGAAGGATGGAAGGCTGAGTCAACCCTGAGCCGGTGAGATTTGAACCGCTGAACTGCTGATCTAGCAGTAGCCTGCAGTGCTGCATTTAACCACTGCGCCACCTTGGCTCTTTATACCTGTGCATAGTAAAAAGCTTCAAAATGACAAAATTCTGAAAGGAAAATCATACAATTACTCCTTTAAAGATACGCAACATATATTTATGAAATTATTTTGTGTTATATATAAACTCATGTTCTCTCTTCTTTTGCAGGATTCAGAATATTCCCAGATGGAAAATATCTGGATATAATTTTAAGCATTTGTAAATTAGACAATAATTACCATTTGTTTCAATATGTTAAAACAATATGTTATATAAGGGGTTGAATAACAATATAGTATTTATTGTAGACCTGATCCATTTATATTTTCTGATTATTTTTATTAATTTATTTGACTTATATTTTATTAATTTATTTAGCTGATACTTTACTCTTCAACAGAGAGTCCAAGATACTTTAAAAATGGTTTATATAAATCAGCTTCGTATTATAAAGCAGCCAATAAATAAAAAACATTATAAAACATGCATTTGGCCGTAATCCATGAATGTTAAGGGTCCAGAAGCCCACATGGAAAGTTTGTCACACAGATCTCTTGACAACTGGTTTTACAAGAAAAGGTACTGGATTTTTGCTGAGCTAAGGAATGTGTCTTTCTTCCCCTCAGCCCCCCTGCCCCCCCCCACCCTCTTTAGCAGGAATAGTCAGCTTCCTGATAGTTTAGGATTATAACCACACAAATCTCATCCAGTAGGATGAATAATCAGATTGTAATCAATCCTCTGAGGATAAAAGTCATGACATAGTAATGTTCATATGCTCAGTTTGCTGAAGCTGCAACAGATGTATTATTATCAGACTTCTCTTAATCAGTTTCTTTTGCCTCCAGATAGAGAGGAAGGACAAATGAAGGAGTCACGTTTGTATGGGAGTCTTCCCAGGATTATTGATGACTGTTTCTTGTATCTGGCTACAGGCATTGATAAAAGAAGCATTTTTCTTTCCAATTGATGGTGAAATCCTTCTGAAAAATCAATTAATGGCAATCCTATGCACAATCGCCTTGAAATAAGTCTTATTGAATTATTGAAAATACGCATATTTTAAAATAAAAGCAGCATAGGGTTGAATCGTACAGTAACTACAACTAGCTGATGAAGACCACTCTTATCTGGTTTTCCCAGCGTCTGCTGTCAATATGACTTCACTTACGTGTTAGAGCTCATTGCCTCCAGCAAGTCATATTTCAACTCTCCTTCTTTCGCAAGAGCCTTGTTTCCCCACCTACAGGAAACTCCACCTCAGAGGCAGCATATCAGGAATTTGCTTCCTAAAGAGGCCAAAAGTTAAAGATCCTGTCTGCCAAGTCAGGCTGACAAATAGTATGACTAAGCCCTATTGTGCTGGAAGCGTTCAGCAGAGTCTGGTGGGGAGGAGAAAGCCCAGGCCCAAGGCATTCGGGCCTGCGCTGCTTTCAATACAAAACGGAAATGCCCAGCTGACACAGGGCAATAGTTCATAATTCAATAATGTGCCCCCCCCCCCCCCCCAGTATTTACCGGCCTTGAGTCAAGGCTTGTTCCTGACTTTTATTTTCTGCTGCTGTAAGGCAAATGAAAAGTTGCTGTACTGACAGCTTTCTATGTCAAATGCTGAGCAGCCTACCAGCCTGTTATTATTTTTATTCTACTCTGTCTCATAGTTATTTTCACATCCATCAGCTTTGTTTACCTGATTGCTATCAATCCTACTATTTCAATTTAACCCTGCTATTTCAAAAGAGTGTTGTTGCACCAGTAGCTTCTTTTCCCTCCTTAGGTAAAAGTAAAGGTTCCCCTCACACATATGTGCTAGTTGTTCCCGATTCTAGGGGGCCGTACTCATCTCTGTTTCAAAGCCAAAGAGCCAGCACTGTCCGAAGACATCTCCGTGGTCATGTAGCTGGCATGACTAAACGCCAAAGGCGCACGGAACGCTGTTACCTTCCCACCAAAGGTGGTCCCTGTTTTTCTACTTGCATTTTTACATGCTTTAGAACTGCTAGATTGGCAGAAATGGGGACAAGTAACAAGAGGTGGCTCCATTATGGGGCGCTAGGGCTTCGAACCGCCAAACTGCTGACCTTTCTGATCGACAAGCTCAGTATCTTAGCCACATAAGCTACCTCGTCCTTCTTTCCCTCCTTGGGTAAAGTAATACAGCTTCAATTAATAAGACCATAGAGAATTAAACATGCTAGATTCAACAACCATTAGCATTTCCCTATCATTTGGGGTGAGCAAGCACATTTGAAATAGAGTATGTGTTGCAGATGAAAAAAAAATTCATATACATAAAGTAATAAGCTTGATTAGTCATAAATAATACTCATTTCCCAGAACGCAAGTTTGAGGTCAAAAGGAAGATAATTGCTAGCCAGTCAAGGTTAGCACAGTCTGGAAACCAGGAGTTTTGAAATACATTTTAATGTGGTAAGAGTTTTGCAACAGAATCTTGAAAGTCTCTAACATGTTTCCAGGTCAACCTACCTATCTCCATTTCTATCAAAACCAGATGGAGTTCTTTTGAGTTCCTTTTTCACACTTTCTACTTTCCAGGACTCAGAGTATGTGTAATGGTTTAGCACTTTCGTCTGCCCTTTCTGAGTCATACCAAACATTCCACCACAAACCAAAGTCTAAAGAGGATAACAGATTCTGAGTTTTAAACACCTAAGTTTTTCTTTGAACCCAGAGTTTTCTGCTGCAATGCTCATTTTAAAGAAGAGAAATAAACAGGGCTCAGTGTCAAATAATTTGATCAAGCAACTGAATGAAAGGCAAAGATCGGGTTAGGGATACAAATGCCAAATCACACGGGTTTTCTTCTACACTTCTCAACAAAATATCCATTACACAAAAATAAACCAGCATTTGGCATTGCTCACAGCCCTAGGTTTAACAAAAGGCTAGCTTGGGGTCAGTTTCGATACTGAATTCTACTATAGTTATGACCCCACAGCTGCCCAGTACTAATGCCACTTCTGAGTTGAAGGGGGGGAAATAGTCTGTTTGAAGAATTGGCAACCAATGTATTGTTTGGCATGCAATATCCAGAACCAAAGTCTACCAATTTCTTCCAGTGTTTAATTTTCTATGCTTTTTTTTTTAATTCCCCAGTAACTAAAATGAGTTAAGCAGTCAGATTTTTGAAAAGCACTGAGGTTGCAGAAAAATGTTCATACTTTTTGTGTTGTGGGTAATGTGTCACCATAGCTACTAAATAAAAACACTCCATAAATTCATTACTTTTTAATGCCAAAGAATAGTAGGAATGTCAGCATTAGAGATGAGGTTTTATATTTTTATGTTTTAGATGCTAGTAAAATACTTGGAGAAAGAAATGTTACTTAGCAGGAAGCACTTAGACTTATATACTACTTTATGGTGCTTTACAGCCTATTGTCCCCAACAATCTGGGTCCTCATTTTACCCACCTGGGAAGGATGGAAGGCTGAGTCAACTTTGAGCCTGGTGAGATTTGAACTACCAAATTGCAGGCAGCTGATAGTCAGCAGAAGTGGCCTGCAGTACAGCACTCTAACCACTGCACTACTGAGGCACACCATTACTAGTATTTAAAGGAGGGCAAGCTAAAAGACATGACTATAAGCCAAAGTAATAAGTTGGACATATGCAACATACATGCCTATTCACATCATCTCATTTGGTTACTTACTCACTACAATGCACTACTAGCACATGAAAGGTTACATATCTACATATATTTTCTGTGGATGAGGCTGTCACTTTCCTTCCTATTTCTGGTTTTATTTTTCCTACAGAAGTGAAAAGAAAACTGGCAGTGACATAATCAGAGCTGGTGCTATAAACTGTAGATAGGCTTGGGAGGATGTGTGCATTCATACTTGGTTTTAACCCTTACAAATGGCCATAGACATATACTTTGTAGGCCCTATTTTCATGGTACCTCTCTGGATTGCAAAAATCTAGACAACCATTAGTAGGCAGAATATCTTATTCAGATTTTTGCATTCTAGTTATGATAGCCCTATCCTAGGATTTCATGTCAATCCTAGGCATCGGATGTGACAGTTAACCTACAGGTATGAGTTTGCATGATACAGTGCTGGGGAGTAAGGTGGAGATTTAGTTGACCAGGGAATAAGTTTCAGTTTGTTTAGAACTAAATTAAATGTTAGAGTTTATCTTAGCCTCCACCCTACATCACCCCCCAGTTAGCCAAGTGTGCAAAAGGAACCAGTACATCCTTGTCTATAATATGGGACAACTTAAAGAATATACTGAGATAGGATTGTGCTTCAGATCTGAGAAATTGTTATGCCTCATGCAGCCTTAACCTTGTGCAATTTTTTTTCTAATTGATTATGTGCTATCAAGTTGTCTCAGTTCTTAGGACCCCCATAAGAGACCTTCTTACCTTTCAGATTTTCCAGTGTGTTCATCACTTCTATAATTGAATTGGTTCATCACTCCTTTTCTTCTTCTCCTCCCTTCCATCTTTCCAAGCATTATAAGCTTGTCAAGAGACCTGGTCTTCATATTACACATCCAAAATATGATAACTGGGATCTGGATATCTGTGCTTCAAATCAGAACTCTTGAGTTCAGAGGTGGGTTGCTGACAGTGTTATTGCCGGTTCGCTTTGCACATGCTATGCTTGTGCATTGCTTGTGCATGCGCAGTTGCCTATAAATTGTTCTGCACATGCGCAGAACATTATAAAATCACTAAAAAACATGCTAGCAACGGCATGGGCAACTGGGGAACCGGTTCAAGGGCATGGCGAGCCAGTAGCGGTGGCAGTGGGAGGCTCCGCCCACCTGCCTAAATATCATCATGGACATTCTGCATATGCACAGAAGCACCACGTGCAAGCGAAATGAATGCATGCTCCCGGTTCCGAACCAGTATGAAGGTAAGCAGATTTCATGCCTGACTTGTACCCAAGAACTGTCTTTGCCATATCCTTCCTAATTATGACAGCAACACCATTCTTTTTTGGATTTTTGAATCCTGAGTTGTAAATAGTATGAAAGTGTACAGACCTAGTCCATTTCAGTTCACTGATTTCTAAAAGGTCAATATGTAAAATGGTGTCATTTCATCTTTCAGTGTGTTGAGCTTTCCCACAATTCATGCTTCTTACGTTCCTTGTTCCCATTATAATTCTATGTTTGCAGCTCTGGATTTTCTTTTCCTGCATGGCAGTATCAACAACTAGACATACCAAAGATTTAATC